TTTAACTAACCTTTGCTGACAACAACTGTGTGATGTCAGCTCAACGGAATCTGAAACCCATCAACAGCAGGTAGGTAAATCTTTGCAAGGTTGTGCAATCTCGTTTTCAAGAAAGCATGGCGAGTGAAAACAAATGTGCATGAACAAGGAGACCTAGGTATGATATCGCCAGACGTGAAAAGTCATTGAGAAAAATTCTTTTTTTACCCAGCTCCAGGTGATTTTTCCAACAATAACTTGAGGAAAACAAAGGTAAAATTCCAAAATGAGTGTTTCATGGGGTGGTTTCAGAAAAGAATTTCTTTTCCATAAATTATCAAACGTGATAGGACGGCCCACTATAAAATCCCCATAAGCAGACTGCACAAGGGTTCCGGAAGCTCACTGCATGTCCTTTTACTTTCAGGCTCTCTAGGTATCACTCCTGTCATTTGTTTGAACTTGAAAACACCAGACAAAGCTTTGTCTCCGGGATACTGCAACTACAAATTCCACATTCTAAGATAGTTCAAAAACACTAAAGGCCAGTTCACTTGTCCAGTAGATTTAGTGGGTCTCTGCTGGACATACAAGTAATGCTATTTTGCTACTTTTTACATCTTGATAAACTATATCTGTAAATATTCATGTTTCCCTATATGTTTTATCCAGTTAATTAGGACAGCCCCTCGACAGAAACTTGTTCCTTTTGGGTAATCCCGTGGGAGCGTATTGGGTATTGTTATGTTTCTGTTATGTCTATTGCAGTGTTTATTTGTTTTCTTGTCTGTAATTTATTGTATGTATTATCCCGAAAAATAAAATAAATGAAATGAAGGGGTTAAAGGTTAACATAAATTGAAAACAAGTTCATATAAATTTACATGTAGTTCACGTTAAGTATTTCAAAATAACAATAAATATGTAACCATTTAAAAAAATCATAAAATTCAATGTTTACCCCATTAATTGTGACCCCAAAATGAATGAAATGTTCCTGCATTTCCCTGCCCACAAAAAACATATCTCCTTTTGGCCGTTCGCACTCCCAGGCCGATTTGATAACGTCATCGGCAGAACGCCTACATGTACGGCACACTTGTAATAGACCACACTGTATTCGATGTAGCTTGGCCAATAGGCCCGAAGGACCTGGAGGACGAATCCGCCATATTGAGCCACGTGGAAGCACGAGCTGTTGAAGTGTAAACCCTATTTTGTCACCATGAATGTCAACGGGAAGAAAATCAACATGGAGCTTGACACGGGAAGTCCGTGGTCCATTGTGTCAATCAGGACATTTACCCAATTCAGGAACCCTGACGAGATTCAGCCTTGCAATCCTAGTTTGACAACGTACACCGGTAATAGAGTTCCAATCGTCGGTGAAGCCACAGTGAAAATGAAGCATTTATCACCACAGCAGACAAAGCCTTTGCCACTCCTTGCTGTGCAGAATGGAGTAAGCCTCTTGGGACGGGAGTGGATAGAATGCTTTCCATCAGCATTGGCCAATGTCTTTCAAGCCAAGCCACCTAGCAGCCCAACTTTAAATGCAGTTGACATTGATACAGAAGCCCAGTTGAAGGACATACAGCAAGCCCATGATGAAGTTTTTAATACTAAGGTACTTGGTAAGCTGACAGGGTACTAGGCAAAGGTAAAGCCAGTGGAAGAGCAGCCACTTTCCTACAAAGCCGCCCCAGTCTCGTACATGAGGAAACAGCGAATAGACGCCTGGCTGGATGACTTGCTTGAGAAGGGAGTAATCAAGCCAGTAAAATTTGCTGACTATGCCTGCCCTATTGTAAAAGCGAATAAAGCCGATGGGAATGTCCGTGTCTGTGGGAACTACAAGCTAACTGCGAATAAGGTTCTACGCTTGGAGCAGTATCCATTGTCAACACTTGAGGATCTAATGCAAGTTCTTCACGGCGGACAACGATTTTCTAAGGTGGACTTGTCTCATGCCTACCACCAGATCGAGTTGGAGGAAGCCACAAGAAAATACACTACTGTGAATATCCATCGAGGTCTCTTTGGGTTAGCCTCAGCCCCAGCCATCTTCCAAAGAACCATCGAATCACTACTTGCAGATATCCCCATGTGCCGCCCGTACTTGGATGATATCATCAGTGGTCGGAATGACGCAGAACATCTGGCCAATCTCAACGCAGTGTTGCAGTGCCTAAAAGAGAGTGGTATGAAGTTGAAACGGGAGAAGTATGACTTCCTACAGGACTCAATAACTTACCTTGGTCATGAGCTGAATCAAGAAGGGTTGAGCCCCTTGAAGTCAAAGATTGAAGCCATTCAGCATGCCCCACGTCCAAAGAACCAGGAAGAGCTTCAAGCTTTTCTTGGACTGTTCAGTTATTACAGGAAGTTTATTCCCAACCTATCCAAGCACATTGCACCATTTCCAAAGATACTCCGGGCAGAGTTTAAGTCAGACCAGAAGATGGTGGCCTTTCAGAGGACCCAAAGTTTACGTGGGGTCCTCGATAAGATAATGCCTTCACAGAATCAAAGAAGCTGCTTCAAAGTGATGTGGTCCTGGTTAATTTTGATCCAGAGAAGCCGATGTTGCTTCAAGTTCCATAAGTACCTCCAAGGAAGGCACTTCAGCATAGTCACGGACCATAAGCCTCTGGTGGCCTTGTTCGATGATATGAAACCTCCGCTCGCATCACCAGATGGCACATGATAGTCTCAGCGTACGAGTATGATATGATCCACAAGGATAAAAAGCATCAAAATGCAGATGCCCTTTCACGCTTACCTGTGACAGGAAGTGAAGAGGTCTGGTGTCCTGATGAGCTGGCAGGAGGGTCCAACAAATACTGAATAAACCTAATTGAATATGTAGATACACGACCTGTGACAGTGGAAGAGATAAGCCGTCTAACTGGCAAGGACCAAGTGCTATCAAGAGTGAGGCACTACTAACGGCGGAGTTGGCCTGAGAAGAAGAATCTCGGAAACGAGTTTGCACCATTTGTAGCCAAGAAGGATGAGTTGTCTGTGGAGGATGGTGTAATCCTTTGGGGTCCAAGAGTGGTCATTCCAGAGGAGCTTGCCCTGCGCCAACGTCTGCTTCAGGAGCTCCACGCAACGCATCCAGGCATCATTAAGATGAAGGCACTGGCCCGTTCATTCATGTGGCCAGCAATCGACAGAATGATCCAACATGAGGTGCAAAGCTGCCAAAATTGCCAAGAGCACCAAAAGATGCTGCCCCCAACTACACTGCATCCATGGGAGTTTCTTGACAAGCCCTGGTCCAGATTACATCTTGATTATACCTCCATCAATGATCAAAAAGTCCTGATAGTAATTGACGCAACAGCAAGTGGATTGAAGCCATCCGTGTGAGCAGTTGCACCGCCGCAACAATAGTGAGGGTGTTGCGAAAGCTATTTGCCAACCATGGAATACCAGAAACAGTGGTAACAGACAACGGCACGCAATTCGTGTCGGAAGAGTTCAGCCAGTTCCTGAGCCAAAATGGAGTGGAACATATGCAAACATCCATCGAGCAATGGATTGGCGGAGAGAGCCATTCAAACTGTAAAGGTTGGAGTAAAGAAAATCCGAGGTGGAGATTTAGAGTTACGACTTCAGCAGTTCCTGTTGGGCTACAGGGTGACCCCACAGTCGACAACTGGAAAAAGTCCCAGTGAGTTGCCCTATCAATGACAAATTTGAACCAAGCTAGACCAGCTGAAGCCAAACATCAGCAGACGAGTAAAAATGCAACAAGCTCAAATGCAACAGTCACAAGGTTCCAAGGTGAGAGTGTTACAACCTGCTGATACTGTTCTGGTCAAGAATTGTGGTTCTGGACCCACCTGGTTGTATGGTGAAGTTGTCCGAGGGTTGGCTTCATCAATATATGAAGTTTGTTTGTCTGACGGGCGTGTGGTCAGACACCATATTGACTAAACGTGACGATGTCTTGCTAAACCAACTCAGCAGGCTGTACCAACACACTTGAGTGAGACAGTTGACAAATCAGTGGAGAATGTTCAGGAGGCATTGATACAGCCAAGCAACCTCCCAGAGCCAATTCCATTGCAACTATCAAAGCCACCAGTAACTACGGAAGTAGTCCCAAACAACTCAAAGCCTAAAGAAGTGTCTACCCCAGAAAAGGTGCAACCTCACACTGAACCAGCCCAGCCCACTAGGGTGTCAGAGCGACAGAGAAAACTTCCTGTGAAGTTTGCTGATTACATTATGACCAAACCATAATTCGTACGAAGCATAATTGAGTAGTTGTTAATTCCTGGGTACATGTAAAATCATAGATTAGAAGTAGAGCGACTTGTAGTCTAATGCGAGTGAGTTAATGTATACTTGTTTTAATTAGGAGTAGCAGTCACAGTGACTCATGTTCACCGGAAAGGAGTTCTTGATAGAATTTAGGAAAGTGTTTTCTCCAGGTTGTAATCCAAAAGGAGAGTTGATGTTATTAGTTCGATACTTCGACTTGTTGCATAGTTCCTTAATACCTATTGTTAAAAAAAAAAATCAATAGATCTGCAGCTCCACTGGTTACAACATATTGAATGGATTATTATTGAGGATACCGACTATTTAGTACATCACATAGTTCGTGAATTTTCTTTGCAATCTTTAATTTTCATGATTGAACCAACCTTCCATATTGACGCATGCTCTATGGTATTTCCGGGGGTTACTTCAACTAAAGGGGGAGGAATATGATGTATGTATGCATGTAGTATTCATTGTGTTTATTAATATTCATACATTGTCACACGCGCATGCGTGGTTAAGTGATTGGAGTTCAGTTGCAGTAATTAAAAACAGAGCTAGCAGATCAGATTAGAGCAGATCGGCAGACAGATCACAGGCTCCCTAATTATTCTATCAACATGTAAATGTACATTGTCTCAACAATAGGGACATAACAACATGTGAGTCTGGGTACTTTCGAATTAAACTTTATTTTCTAAAGTCTCAACTGAGACTAATCTGATAAAAGGCGGAATACTTACCGAACCCCTCAAGAACAATACAGGGACAGCAATACCAAACCTTGCCCCTGTAGCTTCAATGGCCGTGAGCAGATGGAGCAACTCCTTTGAGTAATCCTTCTCTGCCATCCCTCCTAAGGTAGCTCCAACACTTGAGAGTCTATAAAAGAACAAAATGCAAAATTCATCAGCAACATTGCAATTGATTTTTAGCGGCAACTTTTTAGGGACAGGTGGTGGCCTTTCAAGTCACAATAGGCTCTAGGGGACAGTAGGCCTTACAATGTGGGCCTATTGTATGCATTGCTGGCTGGCCAGCTAGCCACTTTGATAACATGTGTGACAACACCAGGCTGTGTAATAATGGGTGAGAAATGAAAATTGGCAGTACCAATCAAAACCAAATACTACCGCATTGCTCAACCCTTAGGAACCACTTACACATGTACATGTATGTAAATTATTGGGGAAGACACAGATCGCCATTGTTCCTGAGATGAGGTACCTTAATATCGGTACTATCAAAACAGTCTTCAACATAATTCCCTTCTTTTTGTGGGCCATGTTGTGCTGTAAAACAAATTCAAACAACACATCAATGTTGCCTCAAAGGAACAGGCTTCAATCATCTTTTGTTTCCTTTACCGGCATTTACAGTTGTCACAGCACTGATCCGTGTTCATAACAGTACTCTTGCTGGTTCCCTTTCTCTCAAAGTGAGACAAAATCTCTCTGTTGAAGCAACAATAAATCATCAAATCAAAGCAATGAAGTATTTTCCTAATACAGGTCAGGTCACAATGGCTTTTCTTGATACACATGTGCATGTACTGAACACATTCTGCAGATTATCTAACACAGAGGTTTACACTAAATGTAGGGTGCAACTGTTGCTTCTGGATGAAGCTATTGCAAATTTACAGGGAATAAACAACGGGCTTGAATGCAGGTATTTCAGACAAGAATTTTTACAGGAAAAAGGGACGTCATACACGTACCTCTAGCCATAACTCAAATATTGGCATTATTTTGGTGATACGGGGAGTATATTTTCATCCTTTTTTCTTTAAAACTAAGCAGGTAAAATAGTTCACTTTTATTTAATTGAAAAAAAATAGTGTTGTGTTTGAGCCTTTCTTTTTCTTCAACCAGACTCCATAGCCATTTCACAGATTCCCATGACTAGTGTTTAAGCAAAGACTATCACTTAAAGAGTGCCTCTAAGGAAAACATGTTTTCTTTGATTTTATCCATTCAAATAAATATGGAATCATCCAAATCAAACACAGTGTCATTTGTCTTCAGAGCTCAACTACAACAAGCTAAAACAGGCTTTTTCTGTTCATGCCAAGATTTGAATTCAATGTTTGTAGCCATTGTTTGATATGCACAAGGGCTCTGTTCTACAAATACAGGGCGAGGGTTTCCCTCAATTTCTTCGAATGACACAATATACATTCAGAATTCACATTGTGGCATGAACAGAAAAGCCCTTTCAGCTTGTTATAGTTGAGCTCTGAAGACAAATGACACTGCATTCAATTTGGATGCTTCCATATTCATTTGAACAGATAAAATCAGAGAAAATATGTTTTCCTACGAGGTGCTTTTTATAATTCCAAGCATATACAGACATTCAACATTTCAAATTATGTTTAAAGAATCTTACTGTCTTCTGCATTTGGTGGTACTGAGGTACTGCTCCATTTTGGATATCATGCAAAGCTTGTGGGCCCGGAACTTTTCGTTGGTTATATCTTTCAATAAATATCTGATGAAAATAGCAAAAACTTATGAATTGATTAGCTGACTGAGTGACAACATGGTTTGGAACAAGGTCACTGCTCTGCAGAAAATGAAACTACATGTATGACAAGGAAGAGGCAGCTTAATCTGTGATTTAAAGACGTTACAAGAATTCTAGTATGCTGAGTGTCACATTGTGAATTTCATAATCTGAATCAAATATCGTCACATTTTGACAAAGCAGTCACTTTGGTTCAACAAGGCACTCGAAGTGCAAATTCAATATTATGGCTACTGCTTCAAACACAGTCATAATTGTGGAGTGGGGAGTGAACTTAGTCCACCAACCATCCAATTAGTACAACTTTCATGACCTGAAACTATCAGGGTCCAAATGCAACTTGTGGTTATGGTCACTGCATTAGTGCCCAGAGAAGCCTGGATGACTTCAAATTTATCTGGCCTTTCACTGGATAAATTTTGATTTGTCCACTGGCCCTGATAGAGCAAGTCTTCTGCACGCCCTCTGCACCGTTTCATACAGCACGTGAGCATGGATTGTAGAAGTGCCTCCCTCATTCACCATATTATGTGCAGACTTGAGATGCCACTACTGCAGTTAAATGATACTCCTTTGTACGCATCTCACATGTACTTTAACTTGAGGTATAATGTACATGTTGGCAAGTCACAGCATCCTATCGGTCATGGAGGCATTTATTAACTTGAGCACAAGTTGGGTACCACTGCCGTAATGGCTTCCAATTTTTTCATCAAATTTGTCAACAAGATCAGCCTACAATTGGCATTTATAGTTGGAGTGGGCTGGCTGGAGGAAATACCCACAAGCTAACAAGAGTTTTGTATACAAACCTGCTTGTGGCAAAATCTCCTCTGCTGTAGAACACATAGCAATTACTTGCCATACTGTCACGGCCAGCTCGACCAATTTCTTGGTAGTAGGACTCTATATCCTTAGGAGCTGACGGAATAAATTCTATTAATTAAGACCCACAGTTTCATACTTGGAGTTTGCAACATACATGTAAGCATATTTAGACATTTCGTGGAGCTGCTCAGCAAACAAACTGGTAATTAATTTTAGCAGAACCTTTAAGAAAAAAAAAGGTTAGCATACATAGCCTACATATGTGAACAGGAGCAATAGCCTTTTTTTAATCAAGCAATGATCCCCTTAGAAACTGAACTCTTACAGAACACGTGCTGTACACATGCATACCAACTGCATATGCATAGCACAGATTATGCATATGCAACTTCCCAAAGCCTGCAGCGGTGTAAAGCACAAGGTGCCAATGTTATTTGAGTCAATTTTACATTATACAATTGCTGTCTGCCGAGTAAAATCTTGTTATACCACGGTCATAATATTCTATGAATGAAAAAACAAACAAAATAAATACAGTTTACTGCAGCGCAATGCATTTCATTTCAGTGAAATAGTCTTCAGCAACAAAGTGTCAAGCTAAACAAATTCAACCAAATCAAACAGTCAGTAGGGAGTACCATCTTTTGTGTTGACATTTCAAAGGAAACTTAACAGTAAGCTGTCTGAGTCTGTTGCATTAAATGTCTGTAACAACTGGGTGTCCCCTGACATGCCTACTGCAGAATTTGGAACCAGTACAAGGAAGAAACTTCACCATTTTGAGGCAGAACATTCGTGGCTCCATAGCTCTGTGTACAAATGTATACTATTACACTATTTGACATTTTGAGTTACTACATGTAGGTTCCAGTTTTTACTCATTTATTGCATTAGGCAGCCTGTTTGGACAACAGCAATCACCAATATTTCTTTAAACCTTTGTTGGTAGGTGATTTTCAGTGACATTTTAGGTACATGTACTTTGTCTATAATCTTTTGACAAGGAGTGTTTTGTGAGACAAAAGCAAAATAGCATCCTGTAAAAGTATCAATGAAGGGACTTTTCTAGGCGTAGGACCTGCCACTTTCTTGTCACCTCTCAGGAGAAGCAGGACTCAGATCTCATTTGTATTGCTACAACATGCAGAAATGCATCTGAAAACAAGTTATGACGAATGTTCAATAAATGTTTCCTTTAAAAATTTGATTTTCTGATTACACTATGGTATGGTGGCTACTGTGAACTTTGACCTCTTACCTCCATAATGTATGATGTTTCTGACATCGGGTTTGTCAATGCCCATACCAAAGGCAACAGTGGCAACGATGCACTGCAAACAACATTCAGACATTTTCAAGGTTTACACACTTACCACAGAATCCAATACAATACAGATTCTTGTGAAATATAAAGAAACAACTACAAGTTTGAATTCAACCTTAGCAAATAGAGCATGTATGTTGTTTTAACCCATTACAGACAGCTGATAGCAACAGTTTAAGGGGAGGCCAAGTGCCTCGTGGCGGTTGGCTATAGAGTAGTGAAGTGCAACATTATTCTGAACAAGAAAGTGCAGTGCAAATGAATGGTTGAGTACGTGAGTGTGTTGGTTTGTGTGCTGATTCTCACAATAATGCATTTGACACACATACATGTACATGTAATTGTGCACGTGATGTATTCACTTCAGTACTGTAGTGTACTATATACATGTACTCTATGCCCACCGTACGGTGTTTTAGTTCAATTCTTTCATTTCAGTTGTGATTTTGAAGAGAAAAAAAAATCTGAAAAAAAAGAAGAAAAGGGCATTGTAATTTTGTAAATCAGAGAAGGAAAAGAAAAAAAATGACAAGAATTGTCTAAACAAAAGACTTTGAAAAGAAGAAACTTCGTTGTTGCTTTCTCACAAATTAATTTTATATTCATTAGGCAAGGAAATTTTCTAAGAATTGTGTTCTATTGGGATGGTTCAAATAATAGTCTTCAGGAAAAACCAGGAAGAAAAAATTATTTTAGGCTGTTCATAAATAAAGTTGACTGAAAAAGGGGTAAATAACAGAAGATACAAATATTGTGTAATAAAACTTTGAACATGAACACTCCACTTAAGACTAAGAACGGAACTACATGTAGGTACCGGTACTAGCACAAATCAAGCCCTGCTTACAGAGCACAATATGCACAGAAAAAAAATGGAAGTATCTAATATACATTGTACAATCCAACAACAGATCTGGCATATACCATGAAGGAAGGACACAGAACGAGTTGTAACTCACGCACTAATAGGAAATAACATTAAAATATACGATGCAATCAAGCAACAAGTAGTAGGCAAAAGGGGGATTGAGGACTACATCATTTTCCTCTGGGTACTTGCCTAGCAAAATTTGTTAACATTAAAAAAAATAAAAAACAAAAAATAAACGCTAGGTACCTACCCAGTTAATTTTTTTCAAAAATCAAAGAAATCATAACCAGTTTTCCAGACTATTGTTACTTAACACATCCCCCCAAAATGTCTGAAAGGAATTCCCCAGATTCCTGCGAGACAATGACCAACACAAAGCAGGGGGGTTCTCTCCTTGCTGCATATGAGTTGTAAATCTCGCTGGGCCGATTTTTTGGAGTCTGTAAGGCTTTGTGATTTTTTGTTTACTTCAGTCATGGTTTCTTTCTAATAAGCTTTAGAAAAAGCTTTACAAAACTTCCAACTCAATAAAAACGCCAGCACCTCTATTGTTAATGACTTCTCCCCTGCCGTTCCTCACCAAGAAATTGAAGCTAGTTAGTTTTTTGGTTTTAAGTGTTTTTGCCATATCACTTGGCTCCTTTATTGCATCTGTTAAAACGCAACACACCAAGTCTGGAGACTGACCGTTGTGGTAGTTGTCACTGGTGTTTAATTTACATTCACTTTCCCTTTATAGATAACATTGGGATCTAGCCTACCTTTTGCAAAATTGAGCACTTTTGAAACTTCTTGCCCCAACCACAATTTAAGATTTACATCTGTCATTATTATTGTAACTAAACTTGAGTCTCGGAATATGAAACTTATACCTGCAATGGTGTTTAAAATAAATACAAACAAATCAATGTTCTAAAACCCCAGAGGAATAACTATGCTACCACATTCTTCCCCTTGCAAGAACTTACACAAGGTATCAACTGACGGTGCGTGCAGTTGCTGCATAAAAATGCTATTAAAACCCAAAACTAAGTGTATCTCTGGATTATGTTTGAGCGATTCTAATAGTTCTCGTTCTTTTGTCGGAAGTATTTTCTAAAAATCCTTCTTGAACAAACTTCAACGCAATGCGACGAGCTTCCTTAGTAATAGTGTCTTTCTCTGTAGTCAAAAGCAACATGAAAGTAATCATGTTTTGGTGCTGCTGTGTAAGTCCTTCTTAACCGGTTTTGCTCTCAAAATTTGTTTTGAGTGTTGATGTCAACTAGTTTTGTTTAATGATACCACTAAATTCTTCTAGATTTCTTGCCTCGTATAAGCTTGAATAAAATCGTTCATTACATTATAAAACTGTCTCCTTGTAATTCTCTGTTGGTACTACAAATCTAATCGATTCTAAAAATTAAATGCTCGGATGGAGATTTTTTTTCTGTAGGTGGGTTTGACGATGTTACTTGAGCGAGTTTCTTCGGGTCCTCTTTCAGTAATTGCCAATCTATTTCGGTGGTATTAGTGATGTTAAAATACCCCGGGTAAAACACTACTTTTTTAAAGCGAATATACTTGTAACTGTCTAAATTATCAATAATGTCTTGCAACTTTAATATCTGCTCAGTTTTAGTCAAATAAAAAGTGTGCTATTTTTTAAAACACCTTTTTAAAGAGGGTCAATACCTTTTTTAAGAAAGATGAAACCCAACTTTAGTCACTTGGCAATCGTCATAAACAAATCCAATTTTTGGGGGACAGAGTTTCTCAACTTAACGGCGCATAAACTCCCACGTGAAATGAAAAAGCCGTAAACCATTGGATAAGTGATCCTTTGACGTTTTATCAAAACCAATTTAATTTTTTGGTGTATTGTGCATCAACTGCTTGTAGTGACAGTTGGGATCTTATGTATCGGCATTGTTTCAATTTCCCTATACCAGGCAAGATATGGGACGGAGGGTTACCCCCTTTACCTGTCCAATCCCTATACACACAGTAGACTATTGTTACCTAACACATCCCCCTAGAAGTCTGTAAAGAATTCCTGAGATTCTGATCAAACAATGACCAACACAAAGGCGGGGGGGTCTCTCCATCCCATATCTTGCTTCAAATGAATTTCGCTTATATTTTACTTTTCAAAAAATCTTATACAACATGACTGCACCCATACCAGGCGAAGACGTATTTGACGTGTTAAACAACCATTACGATAACAAAGCATTTGTTGACACCTGTCGCCTTTTTAACGTCAGTGAAAAAAAGTCTTTTAAACAAATGTGCGACAACAAGTCAAATGGTTTGGGCACTGCTTTTTATTACGATGACACAGGAGGCATGGGCTATGTTCCTGTTCCTGGTAAAACTATGACAATCATGATTTATACATTCCTTACGGCACTTATGCAGGAGCCACTTACATGAGGATTCAGGTGGGACAAACCGCCAAAAGGATCTGGTCACACGAGTACTTATATCGTGACTTGGATAGAGCAGTCTGAAGCCGTCGTAAATGCCTGGTGGGATTTTGTGTCCAAAACATTGAGTTTTACAGATGTAGGCATCACAAAAGTCAACAAATCCATAAGGGCTTACGTGTATGCGTTGTTGTGAGCACAAGCTCAAACAAAATCCAGCGTGTTGGCACCCACCGCTGGATTAGATGCTCAACAACTTATCACCACTGTGGAAAATCTCATCAACTCAAAACCCTACCTCGAACAGTCGATCAACCAATATATCAGGACTCCCTACAGTATGCCAAACTCCTTTGAACTTTGTGGTTAAACCGGGGTTGTACCTGGTTCCTTCTGACATGGACTTGAGAATAGGGATATTTGAGGGTTACAACAACTTGCAAATTGTGATCTCTAGCAAAATTCACTCAACCCTCTCCAGAGCACTCTCCAAGAACAGATGTTGACCTTACAGAGGGTGTAGCGAGTTTACCAAAACCCCAACCCACCTGATGAATACCCAGTGCAAGCACCTTTTAAACCCCAACCCGACCCCAACCCGTTATTGGTGTAGCTTTTCTTTTGTGGTTTCACTTACGCTTTTAAAAAAAGTTAAAAGACCCCATAGAAATTCTATGGAGTCATTCTTGAAGACATTCTCTGAAGTCTGTTTAAAAATACCTATATCATTTTAGCTGCTTCTAGCTGATCGTTCAAATCCGCATGAACAGTTTTTCTCTTTCTTCAGATTGCTCTGTCATGTGACATTCGTTTTTGAGTTGTGATATTTAATCTCTTAACTTGCTAATTTTATCCTCGTTTAATGCTTGACCTCATCTCATTTTTTGTAACACTTTGTTTAAGCCTTCAAGTTCTCTGATACCTAGCCCTTCTAAGCCATCCCTTCCTTGATCGGTAGCTTGGGGAAGTTCTTCTAATAGGATGCTTTCAGGATGTAGCAGTCAAAGTCGACGGCCCACTTGAGCTTCCCGTCACGTTTTACCCACTGAGTAATTGTTAAAGCCTAAAACGCATCTTATAAAATCTGTGTTTGCTTTACCACGGACGGTGTTTCAACTGAGAAATCAACTACACATACATTGGTCAATAAAACCTGTTTAGGGAAGGTACTTGGGTCTCTAGTCATTGGCTCAAAACCCATTTCTTGTTTATATCGCATCATGAAAGTCATTCATTTTGTCTTTGAGGTTCTCCTTAAACCCGTCATCATTAGCCCTTGACTTGGTCTGTAGTATTAAGATCTATGGCCAAAGAAGCAGGTAATTTACTATCATCCCAATCAAATCTGGTTCTTGTTCTAAATGGGGAATATCCTCGTCGTCAAACCCTCCTTCCACTATCCCTTTTTTAAAGTAAGCCTTTTTAATCTTTTTACTTTTTGGTGCGCCAAACTAATATTACCCAGAAATATACTGTGTCACCAACCACTGTTGTATTGCCAGAGAACCACCCACCAAGGCGGTTAGTTTTCTCAGTTCAATTGGTCTAAGTCTGGTGACTTCATTTTATGTTTTAAAAAGTGTTTTGCCGAGCATTGCATATCCCATGGAAATAACACTTACTACAGCTCTGCGGTAAATTGTGTTTACGATTTTGTTTACGTTGCTCCTTGTTGTTTGTGTTTTCAGTCTTTAAAAAAACAGTAAAGAAAAAAAATTTAATTCATAA